TCGAGGTCAACCTGAATTTTCCAAGCACTCGGATCCGGATCAAATGACATAAAAAACCTGGCTCACCTCCAAATTACGGGGCGAAAACGAGAGAACGCCGGTATTTGGATGCCTCTTAGCTATATAGCCGATCTGAAATCATGACACTTCATTCCCATTCCTCAAGAATGAAAGTGATCACTCACCTGCTTGAAAGAATGCCCCTCGGTGTCCTCCCAGTAGCCCCAAAGGGCGATGTCGACGGCTGTGTTTGTGTTTGCAGTAATGTTCTCCCATTCCCAGGACAACGTCAAATTCTAGAAGAATATGTTTTTCCTTTCTTCCGATTTCATTGCTCTTCAATATTACTATTCTTTCAATATATTTTCGCTGAGCCTTGATACCTGTGGATCATAGAAGTTCCAGTTGTTCATCGGCTCTCTGGGATCGTTGATCAAGTTCACTCGCCGCCGTGCCAGACCAGGTTGTACTGAACGATACCATCAAAGAGCAGTTAAGCGGTAACTATTATAGCACATATCACTGCATATCTCGACGCTAGGCGCTCATGTCGTTAGGAGAGATTTGCATGCGAGTGAGCCACTTACAGTACCTGGAACAAGTCTTAGGGAGGGGAAGGGACTCTCGGAAAGGGAGTAAGCATTTTTTCCCTAAGCGAATTCCCCTCCTATGCTTAGTCCCAGTGTCATTTACCAGCGGTTTTAAAATGCCCCGTTCTGAGTGTCCCTACGCCCCCATCCCACCTCCACCAAGGCTATGAGCACAGGCAATGATTACTCACTTGCCGGAATATTGCGGAAATGTGGTTCTCTCCTGTAGATTATTCTTGGTATTCTCAAAATTCCACTCTCTTGTTTTATAAATCTTTAAACCACCATTCATTAATCATTCACTATAATCATGATCTTCTGGGAGCAATTATGACGTTTTACTGCTAACGGTAGCTTCGGTCCGCGCCACAATAAGATTTTTGATTGCCTCGTGACTTGATTGCTTCAACCAGGAGAGCCTACAGATTTCAGAGAGCTCCTTTACCAAAGAATTTTTCGTCCCTGTAGGAACAATTTAGACATTGGAGTGTGAATTTCGCCTCAAAAGTAAAGCATTTACTATGGAATTCCAGTATCCCCAGTTGACAGTACCCACCAGTATCCACTGAGAGAGCCATTGGGACCAAGCGTTTCTTAGCTGGGAACAAATGCCCATAAAACCGCCATCATCGTAACAAGGCACCTACGGTGCCTCAACAACTCCTCCGGCCCTATGAGTTAAGCCCAACGGTAAAGATGAGATTGGAGTCCAGGCGGAGATTTGAGGTACGGACCTCCTCACCCTAGGTGGTACCCACTGACAAGCGGTAGGCCTGCATCCTGCGCGTAACGTACTGATTGGCTTGATGAGATCCACTTCGACCTCAACAGCCGACTTCCAATGGAACCTCCGGTTCCAAGAACACTATGGACGCACTTATGTAAAATTTAGTGTGCCACGGGTAGTTCTTTCCAGCGTCCACCGATAACTTCACGTCCACAAAGCCAATTCTGAAGACGCTATTGGTCGGAATCACGCAACGAGCCATAACCATATCGACCTGAAATGTTTATGATGTATTGTTGCCAAAAGGTGAAGGGCTGCAGTCAATTCCATCAACGTTCAGCAAGCCACAGACTTACGCAACTACATTAAAAACGCACCCTTTCGCAATCTACCGTAATTTCGTCAAACTGCATTTTGATGACGTCTGTCGGGACGAAGACAGGGCCCAGTCACGTTCAAGTGCGAATCCACCAAGCATGTTGCCGTATTGCTGCGACAGCTCCATCGACCCTTCAAGAGCTCCATCAGTCTCTATGAATTCCGTGTTCATTGAAGGTAACCTTACCTGTGCTGTCATTAGTGCAACCGCCGTACTGGATCTGTTCATCGATTCGGGCCAGCCACCGTCCTGCTATCTAGAAGAGCCCTCTTTACTCATGATCTTGTGGACGTTATGGAAAGAGCCTCTTTACTAGTGGACCTTGTGGACGATGATCGATAGATTTACCTGAGGGTGAACCGAATTGAAGAGTTTTGGGTATGATGTGCCTCAGAGAGAAAGGAGTTGGGTAGAGCAGGTACCGGTGCGCATTGAGCCACCTGAAGGAGACCTTTCGTGTAGCCTCTCCTTGGAAAGGAGAAAAAAGTTGAGCTCAGATCATACAGGAAAAGCCACTTTTTCTTGGCCGTCTTCACTTGTGTTGTGAGATCTGCACTCGACGCTCTTGTCGTTTTTCGAAATGACGGTAATATTTCGCTTTATTTCTTTTCCAATGCTAGTCAATTTCTATGAAGTTGAGAAATCGGAGAATTTCTTCGAAGTACCGTTAGTAGGAGGACGTATAAATATAATGGTATTGCCGATATTTTTTTTCTCACCAAAAGCGCATTTGTTTGCACTCTCTTGTGAACTACGAGTAAAGCGATCCACTTTGAGGAAGACGAGTCCAATTTTAATGTTTGCGTAGTTTCGGAATGCAGTACGCTTCGAATATCATTGTTGCCAGCACCAATATTGATAAGGTGGTTTGCTTAAAATCAAATAGCATCCTACTACTATAAAGCGCTTCGTCTGTGTCTGTCTGTCTGTCTGTCTGTCACGAAATTCGGTATCAAGCGAACAACAACCTACAGGGTCCAGGTCAAGTTTGGGATGGGTATACCATATCCCTAGAAGTAAAAAACACACATCAGCCAAGCGGAGCCCCGCCCACAGTGGGCGTGGCGTGCATCGGTTGATTTCAAATTCAGTCACAAAACAGCCTCGAGACCGGGACAAAAGTGGGCATAGGTGTGGGTTGGTAAGCCAGATCGAACTGAGGAGACCCACCCTCGGTGGGCGGGGCGTTCTCTAGAAAATGGGTGCTCAGTGAAAATATTCATAACTCGGTTAAGAGGAAGCCTACAGACCAGGAACGAAATTAGTGCAGGGGAGCAATGCCTAAGGTATTTCCACCACGCATGATGTGAACGGAGGCCCGCCCACAATGGGCGGAGCGTGTCGTGAAGCGGACAGCATTTTCTACAAGAGCTCATAAATCGGCTCCGAGATGACTTAGAGACCGGAAAACACGGATAGAGGTCAGGAGGGGAGGGGAAGCTAAATGTCAGGGATGGGCGTGGCTTACATCAAAGTGGGCGGAGTTTGCAATTAGGCTTATAACTCGGTTCCTAGGAGTCCCGGAGTCCGGGAAAAAAGCGTATGAGGGTTGGCAGAGGGAAAGGGGTCAACCGTTGTTGGCGGGCGGAGCATGCACCAAAGTGGGCGGGGTTTGCCACGGTACTTCATAACTCGGTTCCAATAAGTTCCAGAGATGGGAGAAAAGTAGAAAAAGGTTGGGGAAGAGATGATAGCCGACTGATATCAGTGGGCGACCCACGCACCAAAGTGGGCGGGGTTTGCCACAAAGATACGTAGCTCGATTTCGTCCCCTACAAGACCTCATAATTCGGCTCCGAGATGACTTAGAGACCTGAAAAAAATACGCCAGAGGTGAAAGTAGGAGTAGAGGTTGAATGTGAACGCTGGGCGTGGCACACCCGGATGTGGGCGGAGTTTGCCACCGCTCTCATAACTCGGTTCCTAGAAGTTCCGGCGACCGGGGAAAATGTGCATAAGTATTGAGGTATGGAGTAGGGTTGAATGCCATTGTTGGGCTAAGCATGCACCAAAGTGGGCGGGGTCTGCCTCAGAAATTCGTGACTCATAACGCCATTTACAAGACCTCATAATTCGGCTCCGAGATGACTTAGAGACCTGAAAAAAAATACGCCAGAGGTGAAAGTAGGAGTAGAGGTTGAATGTGAACGCTGGGCGTGGCACACCCGGATGTGGGCGGAGTTTGCGGCGTAAGTAAGATGTACCGAGCAGAAAGCTAAAATCAAGACAAAAATACTGATGGGCCCGATTTTACCGCTGAGCCCCGTCTCATGCACGCGAATGCGTGCGCAGCCAAACTGGTATTATAAATTAGTATATTTATTATAATTGGTTATATATATTTA